TTCTGCTGGAGGTAAAAGTCTCGGCCTCTACTGTCTGACCTACGGTTGTGTTGGTTTGACCTTTGGCCTCTGTAAATCTGAAGACTTCTCCTGAGGGTAGAAGGATTTGTTGTGTTCTCTGGATATTTCTGATTTTAAAGGAAGTCATAACACTGAGATAATAATCATCATTCCATTTCAAAATGAATAAAAACCAATAAATGAGTTCCAGCCCCCCAGAAATAAACTAATAATTAATTCAATTAACCCCTCGTCTAAACATCAAAACAGATATAAACAAATATATTGATAATTTAAAATAATAATAATTAAGAAAACATTTTATATTATTGTTATAAAAATGGGTTAAAATAACCCGCAGAGGGTTAATCCACTGGTAACTAGTTGCAGACTGGTAACTAGTTGCAGACGGGTAACTAGTTGCAGACTGGTAACTAGTTGCAGACTGGTAACTGGTAACTGGTAACATCTTGAAGCCAGACTGTACTTTAATGGACCACGCTGAGCGCTGGGCTGGCCCAAAAGTTGGCCCACGAGCTCTATTTTGATCCACCCCTGTAATATTAAAATGTTTTGATTCAGCTTCTTAAAAAAAAACTACTGATTGACACGTTCACTAATTTATTTTTCTTATTGTGACACGAAGGAAGGCAGAACGGTGACATTTGTTTTTATTAATATTCTAAAAAAAAAAAAGAAAAAAAAAAAAAGAAAAGAAACAATAACCCAGACTAAAATAGTCAGATTTGTGTGGGAATCGAACTCCCTCTCCTGTACTGGAACTCCTCTCTGCGGGTGATGATTTCATTATTTCCAAATTAATTAATTAGAGACAGAGCTGCGGGAACTGATTAACTCCGTCTTAGTTTTAATAAAATGTCAGGTTCAGATAAACAGAGTGGATAAAGTGTGTGTGTGTGTGTGTGTGTGGACTGTGGTCACTGACCGGAAGTGTTTATGTTCCACTGCAGACACACGTTTGTTTTTGCTGCTGCTGCTGCGGCACAAGATCAAAACCCAATATTTTCTAATTAATCGCACTTTTCGCAGAGAAATTGATTACAATGGGAGCCCCCCCACACACACACACACCCCACCCCCCCACCCCCGCCCATAAAAGAGAGAAAAAAGAAGTAGAAATTTCACAGAGCGCACACGAAATGAGCGATTTAATGTGATTGTTTCGGTCGAAGGGGACGTTTCCCGGGGCCTTATGGGAAAATAATGTCCTTATGAATTAAATAATAGGGTTATTACTTTCATTGATTTTAGCTGTCTGGGAATTTAGCGCTGAGCTGCCGTTTAAAGCCAACCTCTCTCTCCCTCCCTCGCTCTCTCTCTCCAGTCCTCAGTCTAATTATTTTCCTATAAGCCCTCCTGCTTCCTACAGCGCAAATAGCAGAGTCACTGAGCGAAAATTATGTAAATATTATTAAAGGGACTCAGGCAGGGAAATTCATTTTAGGTCCACGCAGCAGCAGCAGCAGCAGCAGCAACAACAGCAGCAGCAGCAGAGTAAAGCTCGGTCCCTCGGATCCGCCTCAATTTATTTGCAAATAAAGGCGCGGTGACCGGGAGGGATCAGGGATATTTAGCCGGGCTGTCAACACGGGGGCTCCCGAGCACCGGCTCCACAGAATTAATGGTTTTAATAATTGGGATTTCACTTTCCAGGGAATCGGTGGCGTTTACACTTCAAAAACACGCGCTCTTTTTACTGCCGTGGACCTGAAAAGTGAACATAAACACACCTGTTTAGGAAACCGGGGCTCGGGCTCCGCTGAGCAGTCCTTATATGGGCTGAATACGGAGGCCGGAAGTTGTCAAAAAAAGGTCAAAGGCCGTTCTAGGGAAACGATGGTTTGAATACAGGGGCGGCTCTAACTATTTCAGTTCCCCAGACTGAGAGTTGGTGCCATCTTTAATTAAATGACACGAAAACTGACGACATAATTAAATAGTTATTAATTAACAACTAATCCAACAACTACAAAATTAAATTGGTTTTTACCAAAACGTGTTATTTGTGCTTCATGTATTTATTTATATTTGATTTTCTTTTGTTTATTGTTCGTAAATTAAACAAAGATGTGCAGTGACCAGCAGGCCCAAAAAAATTGCCCTACCAAATGGTGGCGCTGTGGCCCTGGACCTTAACTCTGCTCAATGAAACATTCCTGTGAGTGTGATATCAACATATACTTTTTTATTTTACATTAGTATAAAATCAGCTCTAATCTAAATCTGAAAAATGTTATATATGAAGTATTGACGTAAATCAATTAAATCAACAACAAACTGTTAATAATTCGACAAAGTTCATCAACTTTAACATCACTGTAACTTTGTGCTGTTGTTTTCTTTTCTCTCTGATGGTGTGAATTACAGAAAAGTCGTCAGATTGACTTTTTTTCATTTTTCTAAACCCAGAAGTTTCTAAAGCCGTGGTGTGAGATGAAGAAACGGAGGTTAATTAGATCTCGTTACTGTGTTTGGTTACTGACGAGCAACAGAAAGTATTTTAATAAATCTGGTCAATTTTTAGATTTAATAACCAAATAATATGATGATGCTGAAGCTGGAAAAATGAAGGAGCGTCGTCTCAAACGTGGTTCTTTTTTAATCATTTAAATTGAAATATATATGTCTGTGTGTGTGTGTGTGTGTGTGAACCACTGTTCAGTCTTCAATTTCTTCTACTTTTTTTTTTATCTCAAAGATAAAAAAAAATAATAATATTGCTCCAACCCTTGCACATCCCTCACCTCCTCCTCTCCCCCCTCTTTTGTGTCTTTATCTATCTCCCATCTCCACCCCAGGGGGAGACCAGGCTCCTATTAGAACAAATGACAAGGGGGGGGCCGGGTGCCTTTGTAAAAAAAAAAAGGCGCAGGCAGGCGGGCAGACGGGCGCGCGCCTGTCCTATTATGTGCGACACATGATCAATAGGGCGATAACGCAGCAACATCAATATAAGCGACAGAACAATGAGGGATATCATCGAACATCTATCTTAATATAGCCGACTACAAGGGCCGTCTGACAACACAGGCAGCTCATGAAAATTCCGCCCCACGAATCTCCTGCCACCATCTCCTCCTCCTCCTGCACCTCCTCCTCCTCCTCTTCCCCAATAGTCTATGCGCACTCACGCGCACAGCGGCCCGCAGCGCGCACACACACACACACACGCACGGTGCAGCTGGCGCGGGCTATTATTTTCCCATTTCAATTTGACACCCCTGCCTTTCATGCTAATTCTATTATTGTAGGAAGTTTATGTGATTCCATATCACTAGAAATCGGTAATGTCTAATAACCCTTTGGGCTGGAAGGGAGGGAGGTGGGGGAGGGGGGGGGGGGGGGGAGCAGCGCCTGGAGGAGCCGTGCTGCAGCCAGTGGGAAAATAATTACTTTCATATCAAAACTCAGCAGGAGGCGGCGGGGTCCTACAGCCCCGCGGCCACTAACCTCATTCCAGCTCGGCCTTTCAAATGAATAAATTTGTTAAAGCAATAAATACAAACAGCCAGACGGACTTGAGCTGCAGCCCCGGCTCGCCACGCAGAGGAAGGAGAGGGATTTATATTTGCTGTAACACCACCAAACTCCAGCAACACCAGCCTCCTCCTGCTGGGTATTTATTGTTTTTCCCTCTAAACACCCCCCCCCCCTCCATCCCCCCAACAATCTGGAGGGGGACCCCGTAAAAACAGTGTTTCAATTTAAACAATAACTTTATTTATCAAAATGTTTACATATAAATATCATTTTCTGGCTTTGACAATATCTGAGGATTTTTGTTGTGTGAGACGTTTGTCTTAACCCAGTTTCTTCTGTTTGTTTGATACAAGTTGGTCACTGAGGATAGAAAACAGGAAAAGAAAAAAGAAATCAAATCAAATCAAAGGAGCTGCTTCTACAGAGGTGGTCGGGACTAAAGCCTGAAGGTGGAGGCGGCCAAGGCCTCGGCACGCCTCCGGGGATTGATCACACGTTCTGATTAAAAAATAGACCAGAGTTACGTCTCCTGATTCCTGATATGTTTTCTTGGAGTGTCTGGGCACAGCTTTGGGAATGTTTGACTTGTGTGAGCAGCGTTCCTGCTCCTTTGTTTATGTTTGCTCCTCCTAAGTGTTAGTCCATGTCGACATCTTCTCCATCTGTTGCGGGTGTTTCTTGACAGTCTGTGTTTGCCTCGAGACGCTCACTGAGGTCTGGAGACGCCCTCTCCTCCTTTGCGCGCGGCTCAGCGGCGGCTTGGCACTCGCCGATCGCCGTCTCCGTTTGAACTTTGGGAGTCCTCTCCACGCCGTCGCCGTGGCCGTGGCTGGACTGGGCCGGGCTCAGTCTGGCCAGGGCCGGCTGGGCCGGCGTGCTGCTTGTTGAAAGAGGAGGAGGAGGAGGAGGAGATGAAGCAGGGAGTCTCCTGCAGTCGTCGCCACACTCCTCTGTGTCCGTTCCATCTCCTCTATTGCTAATGTGATTGTGGTGATGCACGTTACGCTCCACATGATCTGAGTCTAGAGGCTTAGTAGCAAAGCCGGCGAGGTCAGAGGGAGCAGGGCTGCCCTCGCCGGGCCCACACCGAGGTCCCGGGCCAAGCCTGCTGATGTTGTCCTGACACGGCGTGGCCTTCAGGGCCGTCTGAGGCACCAGGAAGCCCAAAGGCTGATGTGTGATGGGGTAAAGGAGGAAGTGACCTTTACCCACCAGTGTCCTCTGACTGGGCAGCGGGGGAAAGTCCAGCTGAGTTTTCCGTCGAGGCGTCGTGTCAGAGAGGAGGCTCTCCACGCTGAAAGGGTTTCTTTTCTGCAGGGCGGAGGAGCGCGGCCCCCCAGGGCTGGAGCTGTGTGTGCTGCCCGGAGAGACCTGCTCCTGTTCTGCCGTGGTTCTTTGGTTTTGGTGATTTTGCAGTTGGCTGAAGTCGTGTCTTGTTTGGTCACAGCTGGATTCCGTGCGGTGCCCTCCCGCACCCTTGGCCGCGGGAAGGTCGATGTGAATATTCCCGTTAATGTTGGTGGACTGCTGCTCGCTGTCGGTGAACTGGGAGACCCCGCTGTCGCTCTCTGAACCGCCGGGCGTGTGGAAGCTCTCGCCGGGCAGAAGTTTGTTCTGGGACTTCAGCAACTTTCTCTCCTGTTTGCGTTTCTTCTTCTCCGCCCGCTCCTGCTCCCTGCGAGCGATCTCCTCCGGGTCCATGGGTTCGCCGCTGCAGGTGGTGGGGTGGGAGTTGTGCGCGGGCCGACCCGGGCCTTTCTTTGTGTTCTCCTTCTTTCTCCATTTTGCTCGTCGGTTCTGGAACCACACCTGTTCACAAACACACACAGAAGAACAAACATGACACAGATGATCAGCTGATGATCTGTGAAGAGGAGGAATCATTCAGCCGTTAGTGGATTTTCCTGCTCAGATTTCTAGTCCTTGAATGCAACATGCACTACTGGACTGTTGGCTGATGTTAAACAGGAAATAATTTACTAACATTATACTTCAAATACACAACGTATCTGGGCTTTTTTTTCTTACTGCAAATACTTTTGAACATACATCAGTGTTGTTGGTATTTTACTGAACACTTGTTCCCAGGTCTGTTTCTCACTTTACTGTTTAGACACAGTAACGTTCATCTCCTCTGTGGCAGGAAAGTCTTGAGTTGTTTTGATTTAGTTTAGTTGAACTGAACGTGTAGTAAATATAAATAAAAAAGAATGGCCCACACCGAGGTCCCGGGCCAAGCCTGCTGATGTTGTCCTGACACGGCGTGGCCTTCAGGGCCGTCTGAGGCACCAGGAAGCCCAAAGGCTGATGTGTGATGGGGTAAAGGAGGAAGTGACCTTTACCCACCAGTGTCCTCTGACTGGGCAGCGGGGGAAAGTCCAGCTGAGTTTTCCGTCGAGGCGTCGTGTCAGAGAGGAGGCTCTCCACGCTGAAAGGGTTTCTTTTCTGCAGGGCGGAGGAGCGCGGCCCCCCAGGGCTGGAGCTGTGTGTGCTGCCCGGAGAGACCTGCTCCTGTTCTGCCGTGGTTCTTTGGTTTTGGTGATTTTGCAGTTGGCTGAAGTCGTGTCTTGTTTGGTCACAGCTGGATTCCGTGCGGTGCCCTCCCGCGCCCTTGGCCGCGGGAAGGTCGATGTGAATATTCCCGTTAATGTTGGTGGACTGCTGCTCGCTGTCGGTGAACTGGGAGACCCCGCTGTCGCTCTCTGAACCGCCGGGCGTGTGGAAGCTCTCGCCGGGCAGAAGTTTGTTCTGGGACTTCAGCAACTTTCTCTCCTGTTTGCGTTTCTTCTTCTCCGCCCGCTCCTGCTCCCTGCGAGCGATCTCCTCCGGGTCCATGGGTTCGCCGCTGCAGGTGGTGGGGTGGGAGTTGTGCGCGGGCCGACCCGGGCCTTTCTTTGTGTTCTCCTTCTTTCTCCATTTTGCTCGTCGGTTCTGGAACCACACCTGTTCACAAACACACACAGAAGAACAAACATGACACAGATGATCAGCTGATGATCTGTGAAGAGGAGGAATCATTCAGCCGTTAGTGGATTTTCCTGCTCAGATTTCTAGTCCTTGAATGCAACATGCACTACTGGACTGTTGGCTGATGTTAAACAGGAAATAATTTACTAACATTATACTTCAAATACACAACGTATCTGGGCTTTTTTTTCTTACTGCAAATACTTTTGAACATACATCAGTGTTGTTGGTATTTTACTGAACACTTGTTGTTTAGACACAGTAACGTTCATCTCCTCTGTGGCAGGAAAGTCTTGAGTTGTTTTGATTTAGTTTAGTTGAACTGAACGTGTAGTAAATATAAATAAAAAAGAATCATCAGTGTTGTTGGTATTTTACTGAACACTTGTTCCCAGGTCTGTTTCTCACTTTACTGTTTAGACACAGTAACGTTCATCTCCTCTGTGGCAGGAAAGTCTTGAGTTGTTTTGATTTAGTTTAGTTGAACTGAACGTGTAGTAAATATAAATAAAAAAAAATTATGTGGGTTTTTTTAAAAACAATATTATATGATGTTTTTATTTCATAAGGTTTTAGAAAGAAAAAAGTAACAATCCAACATAGTAGTCAAATAATCAAACAACAATAATCCTCTAATTTTGGTCGTATTTGTAGGTTAAATATTATTCATGATAGACAAAGGTGCAAATATTAAATAATTATAAAATGACTGGAAAATGTGTTTAGAGATTTTCAGTCACTTTTGATAGAATAAATAATTTAATAATAAAAATAATTGATCAGTGAAACAATGCATTGATTGGCTGTCAATTTCTACATTATAATTCCTGAAGAAAAAAAAACTGAAAAAAAACCTTTTGTTCTGTGATAAAGTACTGCACATACTAAGAACAGTAGTACTTTTTTATGGACTGCAAAAGTTTGAATTTCATTTTCTAAACATCAATTCTTTCATTCACTGTGTTCTCACGGTATTTTCTTTCTATTTTTATTCATTCTAAAATATATAGTGTAAAAATAATAAAAGATAATAAACGTCTGACTTTTGAGAAACCTCACGCAGTAATTTTATAAACACTTATAACTTATAGCATTGTTATATTAAATAATTTTATACTAAATATTATTATTTTAACAGATACAGCACAAACGTGAATGTGGACGGATTTGTTTAGGTTCTAGTTCCCTAATATCTAGACTCCATCACTAGTCTAATGTCATCAATAGAGCAGCAGCAGCAGCAGCAGCAGCAGCAGCAGCAGCAGCAGCAGCAGCAGCAGGCCTCACACCTGCCAGGACCAGACTGATAAATCAGTGTCAGTTTTTATCAGTTAAGAAAAAACAAACCCAAACCGAGAGAGAGAGAACCCCCCCAGACGACCCCCCCTCAGCCCCCCCCAGGACAGACGAGTCCTCTGCTGTTGGACACAGACACAGGAGGACACATGTGGACCAGCAGATGCTCAGACGCGCGGCTCTTAATTACCAGTGACTCCAGTAAACAGCTCCACCGGTTTAATCGCGGCGCAGCTCAGCTCAGCCGGGCCGCGGCTTTTGTGTGTGTGTCGGTTTGACTCCCAGGACAGAGAACCGCCCCCTGCACACCCCAAACACCTCTGGAGCTTCCTCCGCCTCAGACCTGTCCCTGCCCCGGCCCGCGGCTGCGCTCAGGGCCGCATGTTCTGCGCTGATAACGCGCCGCGCTCTGCCTACAGAGCGCACGCGGCGAGACCCGCAAATGCATGCGTAAAATTCTTCTTCTTCTT